AGGGTAAGATTTATGCTTTTAAATGTCTTTCTCCTCCTGTTCTGGTTGCTCCATCTCCAAGATTCTGTGTCTAGTGTTTATCCGTTGTCTCTTTATAATAATACTCAACCCTGTTTAAGATTGTCTCTCTAACTGCAGTAGATGGGGTGGCAATATGAATTGTCTTTATTTGTATGGGCTCAGTGTCCTTTAGTGCATTTAGTTTCCCAAAGACTGGGTTGTGACCCTCAGGTGGGTCGCAAGAGATTTTGTTTGGGTCGTCTCGCATCATGTTTCCCAGGAGTTTACGGATAATGTCTGTTGACTTGGGTTGCAAAGGTTTGTGACTTTTAAAATATGGGTCCCCAGAGAAAAAGTATGGGCCACGTATTACACACTGTAACCTACTATTTGCACGCTGCACTGCAAAATTGCCCGTAGGTGGAAACCTCCCTGACAATAAAAACGTTTCCGATTCTGTTTCCACATAGAGCTGGTCGCCACAGGACCAACATCAGCTGAAAATGATGGGGCTCATGGCTTTAAAGATGTTGGAGAAGAAGACCACAGTGTTCTCCGAAGAGGACTTACAATTATATGATCTGAGAACGACAGAGGTGACGGTACTGTCCGGCCTGTGTACGGAGCTCACAGCTTCAGACTCGGACAACAGGAGGACGTTCTGCTTTATTCACCTCACCATTCAGGTAACACTGCCTGAACCAAACGTCAACAGTATAACATGTTTATTAGTTTGTGCCCATCACAAAAAAAAAAAAATCCTCTTCATCACTTCTTTTTTTTAAAGGAATTCATGGCTGCTTTCTATGTCTTTTTTATGTTCCACCCCGAGGGTAAGAACGTTCTGGGCTCAGGATTGTTCAAGTTCAAGTTCAACTCAAAAGAACTGGTTCAGTGTGCTTTGGAGCGAACTCTTAATTCACCTCTCGGGGACTACGATATGTTCCTGCGCTTTTTGTGCGGCCTGCTTTCCCCCGAATGTCACTTTGATCTGCTCAGCGGCTTCTATTTCCCGCGCCACACCCCTAAAGTGAGTGGACTGGACAATGTGAAGCAGCTGTTGGAGCACAAAATCCAGACTGCTCCTGCAGACAGGGTAGAGAACCTAAAGGAGTGCCTCAGAGAGTTGACACAGCGAGATGTATGAACTGAGATATAGTAGGCTTGTTCTGTGTACCTACGTATACTAAATATATAGCAAAGCACTTTTGTACATTTAGGAAAAAATTTAGGTAGCAAGAGATTTTCAGGTGTCGCAAGAGATTGTTTTTTTTTTTTGGTCGTCTCGCATAATGTTTCTTTATGAATAATGTCTATTGTCTTGGGTTGCGAAGGTTTGTGACTTTTAAAAAGTTTGGAAAACACTGATCTTTCTGATCGGTCATGAACGCATAAAGAAAATATACAGCGTGAGAAAGAAAGTACGGTGGGCACTGATAAGGAGCAGAGATCTGCAGTGAGGTTCAAGACATGACAGTGCTGAGCCCCCCGCAGGCACAATGGGCAACAGCTGCACATCGCTGCGTTTGAAAAACAACATCAAAAGCAACTTAACCTGTCCCATCCATCCATCCATCCATCCATCTTCATCCGCTTATCCGTTATCGGGTCGCGGGGGCAGCAGTCTCCATGACCGCCACCCAGATCACACTGCACCGTACCAAACCCCCTGAACCTTCCTGCAGGTGGTGAGTCCACTGGAAGGTACCAACCGCCCCAACCGGGATTCGATCTTGCCCAGGGGTTCCACACCAATGACAGGGACATTGCCTCTGGGCCAAAGCGCCACAACTTAACCTGTTGAACAGGTTATTATGTTGTGAATGTTTTCAAATGAATAACCGAGTGGAGTGGAGACGCGTTCTCTGGAGTGATGAATCACGCTTTTCCATCTGGGAATCCGATGGACGAGTCTGGGTTTGGAGGTTGCCAGGAGAACGGTACATTTCAGACTGCATTGTGCCGACTGTGAAATTTGGTGGAGGAGGAATTCTGGTGTGGGGTTGTTTTTCAGGAGCTGGGCTTGGCCCCTTAGTTCCAGTGAAAGGAACTTTGAATGATTCAGGATACCAAAACATTTTGGACAATTCCATGCTCCCAACCTTGTGGGAACAGTTTGGAGCGGGCCCCTTCCTCTTCCAACATGACTGTGCACCAGTGCACAAAGCAAGGTCCATAAAGACATGGATGACAGAGTCTGGTGTGGATGAACTTGACTGGCCTGCACAGAGTCCTGACCTGAACCCCATAGAACACCTTTGGGATGAATTAGAGCGGAGACTGAGAGCCAGGCCTTCTCCACCAACATCAGTGTGTGACCTCACCAATGCGCTTTTGGAAGAATGGTCAACAATTCCTATAAACACTCTCCTCAACCTTGTGGACAGTCTTCCCAGAAGAGTTGAAGCTGTAATAGCTGCAAAAGGTGGACCGACATCATATTGAACTCTGGGTTAGGAATGGGATGGCACTTCAGTTCGTAGTAGGAGTCAAGGCAGGCGAGCCAATAATTTTGGTCATATGGTGTATATCCAGTGTACTTACATTTGGAATTGTACTCTAAATATTTCAATTAAGGTAAAAATCTTCTATCTGTTTTGGCTTCATCTATTTGCACTGAGCGTTTAAATTGTGTTTTCTGACAACAATATTTAGATTCTACAAAAAAAAATAGAAATAAAATATTTTTTAATTCAGTGAGCAACATAACAATTCTGTTGAAAAAGCGTAAAAGACAGTTCTTCGTTTCTCGACCATGGCGTATTGTGGGTCCTGCACCACTCCGTACAAGCGTGTATTTATTGTCATGTCTCTCCTCTTGCCACACAATTCACAGTATTCCTTTAGTTCTGAGTCTTATTGTTAACTTCATGCAGGAGGTGTCAGGGTCATAGCTGCAGCGTTAACGGTGAATGCTGCAATACTGATCTGGCGCTTGACCTCTTTCCAAGATTCCTGGGGGTCGGAAGAGTTTTCGATGTCAAACAGTGCGTCGTAGATTCCAGGGAAAGACTCCCCTGCATATTTGTTGTGACTACTGGGAGCAAAGATCACATGTCTGAAACAGAGTAGAATGTGTTTTAGTAAAAAAAATAAAATAAAAAAAGTTAGATATCTAACTAAATCTAAATCCTTAGCAACTTAGTGCTATACTTTTTTTTGTTATTTCACTTTGCCTACAGTAACAAAGCATCTAAACAGAGTTGTGTACAGACTACAGTCTTTTGGAGTAGTTTTCAATGGGGCCGAGACAGATTCCCTGAGGTATCCCAGGGAACAAAACACAGATTTAGCTGACATTACAAGAGAACAGTTATAGATTGATCTCAATACTAGATATAGACTATAAAATATATACATCCATCATCCCCAAAAGAATATATACATATACTGGAGAATTAATAGAATTAATACCTATTCTTATATGCAGAGGGGAGAGTTACTACCCATGATAAATACCTGAGTATTCAGGTATTTATCTAGTATAGTAGTCATGTGTTGTCTTCTAAAGTCATGCTCACAAATAGCAGGAGAAGGAGTGGACTATTTAGTCCAGTCCAACAGACTAAAGATCATCTCACCTGTAGAAGGGTCTACCAGGTAAACCCAGTGGGTCTATGAAGGCTCTTTCCAGATACATGAGCTGATCATTCATGACACGAACCTGCAGAGGACTGAGATACACAACCCGAACACATCAGCACACAGAAACGTAAAATAATAGCAAAAAAAAAAAAAAAATAGTTTGCAAGTTAATGACGCCTACTCTGCTGTGTTAATGGTTTCCAAACGCTTATGGAAATCCGTAGCTGCGAGAGTGAAGTTTTCCACAGCAGAAAATAGAAAGTCTGCAGGACAACAGTAGGAACAGGAGAGGGGCAAATAAATAATGAAAAAGTCAAAACCCAACTGGTATTTTTGTTGTTGTAATAAACTCACCAAAGGACACTCCAAATCTCTCCATCTCCTGCGGGTGCTTCTGGGCCAGCTGAGCGATACTCTGGGCGTACTTTTTTAGGGAGACTGCGTACTGGCTAGCACTGAGAGGCAGAACCTGGGAATCTGCCAACAGGAAGATGAGGCCACCTCTGACCTGGGCCACAGCCTGCAGCCTTCTGAAGGTGGGGTCGTAAAATTTCTCCACAATCTCAAAGGTTTCGTACACACTGTGATAGACAGGGTAGCTGCTATACCGTTCTGTTTTCTTGAAGTGCACAAACACACGAAAAGGACATTTTACACACGGCACATATCATAGTAAACAAAGGTCAAATAGCTCAGACTGTGTTCTCGCTTTTACTCATAAACGACAATCATATGTGTCATATCCAGAGAAAGAAAAGTCGCTCCATCCAAAAAATGCATAATTAACAAGAAAAAATCATATCCAGAGAAAGAAAAGTCGCTCCTTCCAAAAAATGTTGCTCCGGACAGCTAGAGTGCCCTCTAGCGGCTGTCAGTGTGAAAATAACGAACATGTACATTTTCAGTGGTACAGGATACACAAGCCTGCAGTGCCCTCTAGCGGAAGTCAGAGTGAAAATAACAAACGTGAAATTATATATTTTCATTTATAGGTCGTACCTAAGTATAAGTCGCAAACCCAGCCAAAGATTTTTGCCTCCTTTTGAGGATGTTCTTCTAATCTATGTGTTATATATAATCCAGTGTGGGTAAATGAGGAAGTACTATGAAATACTGTACCTTGTTCTTGGTGTATCTGGCTCTTCCTGCAGCAATTCCCAGACGGATGAAATAGGCCTCAAAATCACTGCCGGAGCCCAGTTTACTGATCCTACAAACATCGGTTTGGTAAGTTGATGTTGGAATTACTTTCCGGCAGATCAGAATTTCCACTTTTTGATAAAACCTTAATTTATTAATGATACCTTGGAGCATCTCGATCATCGGTCCAGTTGTCTCTTTTGTGCCAGCTCTCGTATAGAGAAAGTCCTTCTTCTCCTTCTTCTGGACTTGCTATCTACAATTAATAATTGTTAAGCAAACATCCTGGTTTTATGAAATATCTGCTGTTTGCACGGTCTGTGTTCTACTCACCTGCTTGGTGAGGTCATACACCACGGTGTGTAGTGACGGAGTGCAGTCCACCCGGAGTGTGTACATGCCTGTGGATTTTGAGAAGCAAAATCGATTCAACGCCAGCTTAGCCTCGAAGTCTAATCTATCTCCAATCTACAATACAACACATCGACAATACACTTGAGAAACACAGTTACCCTCTATGGCTGAGTCAGCATTGATGTAGGCCACAGCTCTCTCCTGCAGCACTTTGGCATTGTCCTTTGGAGAGAACGGGTGTGGTTATCATGTGTGCATGGAGGAAGCTAATGCTGCGAAGGTTTAACGTACTTACCTCTGCCCACTCTGTAGACCCCAGAAGTCCAAATTCTTCCGCGTCCCAGCTCGCAAATATTACACTCCTCTGTGGATTCCAGCCTTCACACACACACACACACATACACACACAATGAGTACAGACGGTTCCATCTTACAGTATGTACACTTTTCATTTAAACCATACGTGTCAAACTCAAGGCCCGGGGGCCAAATGTGGCCCGCCAAGCCGTTTTGTGTGGCCCGCGGGAGCTTAAAAAGAATTTAGTAAAGTCTATGACGCAGAGTTTCTTAACCTGAGTTTTTAGAATCAATCAAATAATAATCAATGCAGAAACAGGTTTTAGTCTGTTATGGAGTAGTTCCATCTATACCAGCGGTCCCTAATCTTTTTTGTTCCAAGGACTGGTCAGCCAGTACCACCTGTTAGTACAGACCAGTAGTAAGGTACTGAGTATTAAATTTTCAAAATAAAACATCTTTTATACTTTTATTCTGACGGTATCAGAGTTTGAATGACCTATTCATTTAAAATTAGATTATTTTTTTGCCAGATTATCTTTATCTTTAAATGGATATGACTTTTTTTGAATGAAGTAAATTAGTAAAAAATTAAGTACATTTTTTTCACTGTATCCCACTGCGGCCCGCTACCAAATGACCTATGGACTGGTACTGGTCTGCGGACCGGGGGTTGAGGACCCCTGATCTATACAGTTTTCCATTTATAACTGGCCCTTCAAGGGGAACTGTATATTGCTGATGTGGCCCCCTGGTGGTAATGAGTTTGACACCCCTGATTTAAACCAACATGTACCTTTGCTGAGTAGTTTTCCAGCGCTCCTGACGGTTTCATGGACGACCGCCGCTCCAGACATGGGGTCGATTCCACCAAACACCCAGGCGTCTCTGTGTCCTCCCAAAATCACATACCTGTCTGCAAGGTGCGCAATACACAAATGAACATAAAGCAGAGTGAGCGACAAGTCCTTTGGGAAAAGATTTCATATTGAAACGCATTCAGAAAATACTAGTAGATTGCGTCCTAGTGACGCAGGCAGGACTTCTACGCAGTGGGAATTCCCTAATGGAGAAATGGAAAACCGTTGGATTCAAATGAGGAGAAGTAGATAAATAGCTTCGTTAATCTCATTGATATATATTTTCTTTCATTTGACCTTTTGAATCACCCTCGTGTACGTAAAGACTATCATTACTTTGCTGATAATTCATTTTTTTGTCTGTAAATATTGGTAGAAAGTCACCACTTGGATTTTGAAATGAAAAAAAAAAAAAGGCGCTTCTTGAATGTGTCATAAGACCCAGATTATAGAGTTAAACTGTACCTGGCTCCAGGGCTCCTCTGATTCTCCCAATGACGTTGTAGATCCTGGTGACCTGGTTGTTCGTGTGGATGTTCATACGCACCTTCCTGAGACGGACAGGTTATTGTCGATGAGTAATAACCACAGAGCAGGTAGTAAGGAATATGCATGTGGATGTGGATGAACCAAGGATATCAAGATAGAAAAAAAAAATGTTTTATCGGATGGATAACTAAAGCAATTCATTTTTTTGTCTGTAAATATTGGTAGAAAGTCACCACTTGGATTTTGAAATGAAAAAAAAAAAAAGGCGCTTCTTGAATGTGTCATAAGACCCAGATTATAGAGTTAAACTGTACCTGGCTCCAGGGCTCCTCTGATTCTCCCAATGACGTTGTAGATCCTGGTGACCTGGTTGTTCGTGTGGATGTTCATACGCACCTTCCTGAGACGGACAGGTTATTATCGATGAGTAATAACCACAGAGTAGGTAGCAAGGAATATGCATGTGGATGAACCAAGGATATCAAGATAGAAAAAAAAAAAGTTTTATCGGATGGATAACTAAAGAATAGTAATAGTAGTGTTGTTTAAAACTAGACAAAGCTGTAAAACGGCAATTTCCATTCCGCTTTGGCCCAGAGGCAATGTCTCTGTTATTGCTGTGGAACCCCAAGGTTCATCTCCTGGGCGAGTTCGAATCCCTGTCAGGGCGGTTGGTACCTTCCAGTGGACTCACCACCCGCAGGAAGGTTCAGGGGTTGGTACGGTGCAGTGTGATTTGGGTGGCGACTGCTGCCGCTGCGACCCGGTAACGGATGAAAATGGATGGATGGATGGATGGATGAATTAATGTGTGTGGTTACGCTCCGATAATACAAGGATTCCCTTGTTCTGCAGCTGGCTATGAGCCATTAAGTAATTAAAGCAGTAAAAGGGAAGAGCCACGGTCGAAAACAGGAATGTAGACCGAACAGTAGAGAGTTAGTAAAGAGTCTGCAGGGAAACAATTGACTGGAAAAGCCCAAAGATCACATTCACTCTGTGAAAAAAAAAAAAAACACTTACTGAGTCCTGAATTCTTCAGTAAAGCCTGGGCCGATCCTATAGGACACATTCAGACCACCTTTCCAGTTGTTGGGTGGGATTGGTCCTCCCATATTCCTGTTGAATGATTGGAAATAATTCACATATGCCGACACCAATTGGAACTCTATTGCCAAAAATCGAATAGAGTTTACACAGTATCAGTACTGGAGCAGTGGGACGGCATCATGGAAGCCGATCGGATGCACGGGAATGCTAGGTAGTCCGATTCCATCCTCTGTGTCGAGTCTAAAAGTGTATTCTAAAAATGATAGAAGACGTCCAATATTAGAGCACGTTCCACTAATGCACAACACACGTGGTACTGTAATTTCCTGGACTATTAAGCGCACCTGAATATAAGCCGCACTCACTAAATGTATACATTATATAAATGCTTTTTTTCCCCAACTGTGGTTCGGAGCCCTGATCGTAGTTGAAAATGCACAGGAGAGACTTCGTGATCTGCTCCAGACCGAACGCTAACATTAGCTCCGGGGGCTAACTCCCTTCACTTTGTGCTTGTCCGCAGCAGCGGTTGTCCGCAGAATAGAAACTGGGATGTTTGGGTCTTTATTATCAGCCACACTGAGCACAACAGAACATAAACATTGTTTTAACAGCTCTTGCTAACTTCGTTAGCCCGTAGAAATCCATAAATTAGCATTTTAGCATCATTGTTTAAGCCGCAGGGTTCAAAGCGTGTGGAAAAAGTAGCGGCTTATAGTCGGAAAATTACGGTAGTGTTTATTACACACCTTTAGCGGGGTACCCCGGTGTGAGCGGATCACCTGCTCCATTAAGGCTGAGAACGTTTCCTCGCTGAGCTCCGCCACCAGGCAGGTTCCAACCATCTGGGTAGGGCTGTCCACCGAAACACAAACACTTGTTTTCTATTGGTTCCAGTGTCCTCTATTCTTTTTTTTTTTTTTCTTAGTCACTGACTCACAGACGTTGAAGATACAGTACCTGTACTCCGGCAGCCCAATAATCTGCAGGGTCTGAGAACATGATGATTCCCTTTGCTCCAGCAGACATGGCGTTCTTAACCTGGCAGGCAAAAAGAGACAGTTGAGAGAGTTGACGATGTGCAAAATTCAGTCTTAACCTGGCAGGCAAAAAGAGACAGAGTTGATGATGTGCAAAATTCAATGTATTTTATTGTTATAAAACCTTAAGTGATAGCTTGCGCTATACCCAAATGTCCCAAGTTATAGAATATACCGTAATTTCCAGACTATAAGACGCTACTTTTTTAAACCCTGCGTCTTAAACAATGACGCGGCTAATCCATGGATTATTACAGGCTACCGAAGTTTATCCTGCTAGCGATCAATGACTTTTCTGGTAGGCTACTGTGTGTTATACTAGTAGCGTATGTCTGTTTGTGAATGGCTGTGTGCGTATATGTGAATGGGGCGTGCGAGAGAGAGAGAGAGAATGGTAGTGCAAGTTGAGAGCAGTTTGGCATATACTGTAATTTCTGGACTATAATCCGCTTTTCGTTTTTCACATGCTTTGAACCCTGCGGCTCAAACTAACGAAGTTCATACCGCTAGCCCTGTCATGTCGTAGCGTGAGTTGGTTATACAGGAGCTGTTAAAACACTGTTTATGTTCTGTTGTGCTCGGTGTGGCTAATAATAAAGACCCCAACTTCCCTGTTTCTGTTTACATCTGCTGCGGACAAACACAAAGTGAAGGGAGTTAGCCCCGGAGCTAATGTTAGCTTTGGCTCTGGAGCAGATCACTAAGTCTCCAACTACGGTCGGGGCGCCGAAGCATGAAAGAGCTAACGTGTATCTAGCTGTGTTACAGGCACTTCTTTGGCTTTTCTTTTTTTGTGGAGGTCCACAGGGATCTATTCCTTGTCTAGTACTTTTTGTTTAGCTATACTTGCTACTACTGCTATGCAGACGACCCGGGAAATCTTTACATCATGAAAGGCAATCAAACTGATGGTGTGAACTATGTTTTGCCATCTCAGATGAACAGCTTCTTCCCCAGGTCTCTCTACTTTTGCGGTTGCTGCAACCTGACTGTGGAATGAGTCACTAACTTGACAGGTTAGTGACTCATTCCTTTTTTTTTTACCTTGTTGCCTCTGAATATTCTCCCATATCTGACAATGACAATCTTCCCGGTGACATTGATGCCCATTTCTCTCTGCAGCTGGAAGAAGTCTTCTGTACGACCATAGTTGACGTAAACCAAATCGCCCTGATAGAGAAAGAGAGAAGTTTGTGTTCTGTGTGCTGTGTGGGTATGTGCGTGTGTGTGTGTATGTGTGTGTTTTCCTTACCTCGGGTTGTCCTTTGGCAGAGTAGGCACTGTACGGAGGCACAATGTCGGAGACGTCTTCGTAGCCCTGTGGTACAGGCTCTGCCAATGATGTGTTAAAAACCTGCAGAGGAAAGAAGTCAAAGGGAATTTGGCAAAACAGTCACAATCATTTTGGTGTTTTTTTATATATATATACATATCAAAGATTTAAATATGAGGTCAAGTTTTCATTAAGTTACCTTATATTTACCTTTATATATATATTTTTTTTTACTGGAATCACCATATATTATTTTGAATGTAATCAATGTGATAAATATGTAACTAATTTTTAATAGTAATTTATTAATAAAAAAAACTTTAAATATGAGTTACGTTACATTGACCAATATATGTTTTTTAACATCAACATATATATATGAATCAACATATATATTTTTTAAATATATCATATATGTGATGAATTTATATGAACTAATTTCTACTTATTTTAGTTCAATAATAATATTCATTATTATAATTATTATTATTTTTAGTGGCAGTTTTGTATAAATTTAGTCTTGTAGGACTAATTGAAATGCACTGCATTCATATCCAGGCTAAACGTTAGCCAAAATAATGAATTGCGCAATAAAAAAATGAAGAATTAAGTAACGTATTTCTTTGAGAGGTAGTTTGATTTACATTTCAAGTATTTCAAATTCAGTGAGAAATTCTGCCCCTACAGAAACGAACAAAAAAAAAAACAACCCAAACCTCTTTAGCCTATCACAGCAGCAGCAGCTATAAATGGTAAATGGCTGATCCAGATCCCTTTGTTTGCCTCTGTACTCTCTCATTATCTTTACTCGGGGCTGTAAAGGGACCTTGGACTGGAATGAGCTGTCTTGCAGGTTTGTGGTGACAAAGACTTAAAAGGTTGGTTACAAGTTCTGGACGAGTGTGACTTTTATTGCATCTGCGTGATCTTTAGGCGAGCTATGTGAGCTTTTGTTGACGAAATCTTTGCATATTTGGGGTAAAGCAAGTCAAAGTGCACCATGTAATATGGTATGAAAATGAAAATTGTACAACGACAAAACAATAATAGTCATTTTGGTTCAGGGGGCCACACATACAAATCCATGTTTTCCCCCTTTGTTTTCATGTACCGGTATATCAGATAACTCTAATTTATATGGCATTATATATGATATATTTTAAATTCATTATAATGAAATATAATTGTACATGAAGTGTACTTTTCTTATTTTTTAAAAATTCATCAAGTGGGCTAGATTGAAACCCCAAGCGCCCAGTTTTGGTCCACGGGCCGTATGTTTGGAACCCTTGTGATACGCAATACTCATGTACACTGTACCTCACTGCCAAGCCGATCCACTATGGAAATATAGTTGGGTTGCGATTTGTTGGGGTAAGACAGCAGCACGTCGTATGGAACCATCTCCACTGAGTCCAAGCCAAACTCCTGCCACTCACTTTGGATCTGCTCTGCATACTTTAAGTTCTGCTCGCTTCCAGCCAGGTGGGGGAGCTGTGTAAACTTTCTGCCAAGAGTGAAAGAGTTGAATGAGTTTCATTTGAATTGTTGTTTCCCTTCACTGCAATTGTGAGTTAAATGAAAAAATTTAACAACATTTATTGATGAGAAATGTTGTGCCTCCAAAACTGCTATGATGACAAAGTCCATAAAATACGGTTTTCAGTGCTTGGTAAAAACCCTGGTAACAGATTTTGTATGTTTACCTCAGATGATCTCTGATTTGGTCAGGCTGGAATTCAACCAGAAACTCTCTCAGATACTTATTGGAAGCGTCCTTGTCTGCAGACGGCTGATTTGTGTTCTTTGCGAACCAACCTACGGGAAACAACACAAGTCGTGGTACAAGTCATGTAAGTTTACACTTACATTGGAAGCCCCTCATGAACAAAATTCAGTAGTAAACTAAAACACACTTTAGTTCAAATATACAGTATATCCATCACCTTAGCACAGCAGTTGCTAACTGCTAGTTGGAAAATCCAACCATTTAGAAAAATATGAAAGAAATTAATAGTTGTTGTTTTTTTTTTTTGAAAAAGATGAAACCACTTTTTAAGCAGAAATTTTTTTTTTTACTTGGACCATGTGAACTCACCTTAGGTCCAGATCTGGCTGCTGGTGTGATTGTAGATGGTGAGTGCTAACCTCAGAGAAGTTGCACAGTGGTGACAAACTGAAGCTCGTGTAACAAGACCACCACCAATATTTAGCCAAAACAACATTTTAATTGTGTAAAAGTGTGTAATATTGAGTGACAGAAGCGCTTCACTGCTGCTTACACACATTTCTCTAAGTCATCATCTAACTATTTTCCACAATAATAATAATAATAACAATAATATAAAAAAATAAAAATCGGCTTACCTATGATGAAACCCAAGAAGAACAGAGCAGTCACTACCAGAGCTTGACCAATTGTCCTCAACAACCTGCTCTCCTTCCTCATCGTGAAACTATGGCTAACCTATATTCCACACACTGGACCACAGTGATAGAGAGAGACATTTGTTTAAGTAGCGCAGAGTGGGGGAAGTGCAAAAATGGAGTGAGAGACTGAGAAGAAGGGAGAGACCGAGAGACAGAGGGAGGAGTTGGAGGGAGGAGGTGACAGTCAGTATCATGCATAAAAAAAAAGAAAAAAAAGAAAAAAAGAAGCGAGAGAAACCAGTGCAGTGAAAGTTGGGGCGATACAGCCAGGAATGCTCTCTGGACACAAGTTCTGCCAAAGTCTTGCTGTGCTTGTGTATCAGAGCGGCGTAATTGACACGTTATCGCCGTCTGAAATAACACTGCACTGCAGTAAAAGTAAGTGCACAGTGATAACTTCAACTCACTGATACAAGATAAGCACGTGGATACTACCTCAACAACAATAACAAATAATGGGCTGATTAGCTGAGCTCACGCTCTCGGATGAGCCTGGTTACTTTGAGCAACAAACAGCTAACTCGTAAAAAACCAAACGAGTTGTGCTTGAGGTGCAATGTTTGGAAATGTTTGCGTTATCATATAAAATTAGGACATTTAAAAAGTTTGGTGACAATAATTTGGAGGTGCACAGTGTAAAAAGAGTGCGCGGTCTGTGCTAGGCTACGCCTGCCGGCACGGCACTGCATTATTATGAGTTAGTATCTCATCTTAATGAGAGAGTAACTTATTATTTTGATTTAAGAATCTATTTTTTTGGCGGAGTATATTTATTTGAATTTGAAATATTCATAAAAAATACTTTTTGGACATTTAAACACAAAATATTCACTTGGCAGCATGTTTTCGGACATAATCTTGCATTTTAAGGTATTTCGGGGACTTTTTATTTTTATGGTTTTTTTCACGATGGCAAGGCTATAGTAAGGCATGTTTTGGATGATTTTTGAAATATTCGTATAAAAAACTTTTTGGACTTTTAAACACAAAATAACCACTTGTTAGCATGTTTTAGGACATAGTCTTGCATTTTAAGGTATTTCGGGGACTTTTTATTTTAATGGATTTTTCACAATGGCAAGGCTATAGTAAGGCATGTTTTGGGTGATTTTTGAAATATTCGTATAAAAAACTTTTTGGACTTTTAAACACTAAATAATCACTGGGCAGCATGTTTTAGGACATAATCTAGCATTTTAAGGCATTTCGGGCACTTTTTATTTTTATGGATTTTTTCACGAAGGTAAGGCTATGGTAAGGCATGTTTTGGGTGATTTTTAAAATATTCATAGAAAATACTTTTTGGAGTTTAAAACACAAAATAATCACTTGGTAGCATGTTTTAGGACATAATCTTGCATTTTAGTGCATTTCGGGGACTTTTTATTCTTATGGATATTTTCAGGATGGTAAGGCTATAGTAAGGCATGTTTTGGATGATTTTTGAAATATTCACATAAAATACTTTTTGGACGTTTAAACACAAAATAACCACTTGTTAGCATGTTTTAGGACCTAGTCTTGCATTTTAAGAAACTGGACCCTGTTCAACTGACCTGTTGACTCCACATATCTACATGAATGAAAGCCCACCACCTCCAGCTAAACCCCTCCAAAACTGAACTACTGGTCTTCCCAGCCAAGCCAACCATACAACACGACATCTCCATCAAAATTGACTCCGAGAAACTTCCAATCCAGGCTTTTTTCGTGGGTTGTTCCATGTTGGTGGAATGACCTAACCAAGCACGACTAGAACAGATCTATCTTCAAGAAACTCTTGAAAACTCAGCTCTTCAGAGAGCACCTCCTGTCCTAGAACACTCCTGTCCTTCTCTACCCCCTCTACCCCCTACCCTCCCCTATCTCCTTCTGCATATGTCTTCATCCATTGGGATTAACCACTTAAAAAAAAAAATCCCACCCAGCGAAATCTACGATCGCTTTCGTTGCCGCAGACTCCCTTTTAAAAGACCCCGGCCCCAAATAGATGCCCCCAGAACAAAAGCTGCTGATCATCTAAGAGTTTGAACTGTGTGTTCAACAGAAGGCAGTCTGTTGGTCTCTATCGGTAACTTCATTAAAGCTGATTGTGCATCCTCTTTTGAAATCACACACACATATTTTCCCACAGTTAAAGCGTGCGGGCTGCAGTGATGCCCGACCCGGCTTGCCTTTGTGAACAGGTGTGTGGGCTGGACACCATCTCTTTCATGCAGTGGGCTGGAGCGTAAAGCGGAGAGGCGACTGTCCTCAGGAATGTGGGGAGGACACAAGCTACAGCTCCGAATGCTATGCTAGAGAAATAAGAAAACATTAGGTCAACTTGTTATTGCTCATGTTTTATTTAATTTGAAGGGTTTTTTTTCTTTTTCTCGTAACTGTGTAAAAGTGGTTGGGGGGCTGAGGCTAGAGAGCAGGGAAAAATGGGAGGCAGCTGCAAACTGCTCTCTGGTGACATATGTGTCTGGCAAGAAAACACATGCTGCTGAGAAGTGAACTTTACACCAGTATAAATAAGAGTAAGAACAGCCCAGTGACCACAAAGAAACAGAGAAAAAAAAAGGGGCTCCACAAGTAGAAAAAAGAATTAAAGTTGGGTCAAAAAAAGTTCAAATATGCACAAGAACTGAGGTGAGTGGAGATGAGTCAGATTGGGAACCGTTGGTTTTTGGATTTTAGCCAATATATCAGGAGTCTTTCAAATATTCCGCTGAGCATTTTGTAGGCTCTGTAATGGTGCAGGGCTGCACTTCCAACAAGTGCATTGGTGGTTTGCCCATAGCTGAGATCTCAAAATCATCAACTCTGTTGCCCTTAAGGAATTTTTTTTCATTATGAATTTTCATTTGTTTGTTCATTGAAATCCTTTACTTATTTTTTTTTTAATTATTATTATTATTATTTTTAAAATATCTCCATGTTTGTTTGCATTAAACATCAAACACGGATTTCAGGTTGTTGAGTTTGAGGCCATGACCTGGAGGCTGCTGAGTGGCACGGGAAATGTCTGCAGACAACAACAACTCAAGCACTCCTTCAGAGTTTGGGGCTGCATTTCTGCAGATAGAGCCACCCATGGATGCATTCTGTTTGTGTATTGGTTGTGTATACTGGCCAGATGTCAAGTGAATTGTGTTGTAAACTTTGTGACAGCGTTTAGTTTCAGTTTAGATGCTTGTTTATTTTTTTTCTGGCATATGTCTTTACTGTATATGAGTTCTTTCTTTTGAATTATTGCATTCAATAATGAACCTTTTGTTGTGTTTCCTTATTCCAATACCAATTCAAATTTATATTATTAATAATAATAATGATGATGATGATAATAATAATAATAATAATAATAATAATAATAATAATAACAACAAAAGTTCAAGACCTCAACGACAAACGACAGCGTCTAACATGTATTGCCATGGTCTTTAAGTACAGAATTACTGTGCATTATTTTGTTCGTGGCTCCCTCTAGTGGTGGCTATTGTTCCTCTCCCTGTTCGAAACTTTTATGAGGGTGCACTTTTTGGTCAGGGTGTAAGGGCGGCGCTGGGAGATGATATGAGGTGAGACAAGAGGAGAGGAGGACACGGAGATGCGGCAGGAGCAGCGCTGAACTCCTCGCCGCTCAATCTGGTCGGACGTAGGAGATGAAAAAGTCCAAACTTTTCACGGAGCAGACTGGCCTCAGCAGGAGCAGCAACAGGAGGAGCAGCAGCAGATACCGGCCGGCGCGTGGTGGTGGCCGCACACGGACGAACACCGACAGACGGAGAGAGCCGGAGCTTCCGACAGGAGCAGGAGGCGGAGGAGAAGAACGGCTCGGGGAGGTTCTGCTGTGGGGTTCGGGCAGTTGACTGAACCCGGAGGAGGAAGGACACCATGGTTGTGTCGCTGCGGAGCTGGGTGGCCAACGAGGGAGTAAAGCATTTGGTGCTGGTAAGGGGAAAAAAAAGAAAACTTGAGTAAAGCATTTGGTGCTGGTAAGGGGGGAAAAAAGAAAACTTAAAAAAAATTTTTTTTTTTAAAAAGTTATAAACATCAAAGGAATTGAAAACGACTTCCGTTGGTACTGTTTACTTCCGTTTATTACGATTCACGATTTATTGTATTCTAAATATCCTTATCAACCCGTAATTATACATAAAAAGTGACTGTATACACAATATACGTCTACAAAAAAAACAACAATAACTAAACAAAACCAAATAACATCTTTGTTTGATTTGTGCAAAGTTGTGTAAAGTCGGGAATTATCTTGCTAAAATTCCTTGGCTTTCCTTGTTCCCAGGAAAAGTTGATTTCCAGCCTAAAACAGAACATCTCTCACAATTTTAGCATGATTTACAATTAGAAAATGTCCATAATTTAACTTTTTTAAAAATATTTTTTTCTAGCTTTAACTATTTTTACTGAATAAAATGTTTTAGCATGATTTACAATTAGAAAATGTCTATAATTTAACTTTTTTATAAATATTTTTTTTCCCAACTATTTTAAATTTTTTTACTGTTTGTGTAGATTCTGTGGATGGGAGCTAACACCTGGCTGTTTGTGAAGACGTTCCTGCTGTATTCTACTGGACCGCAGTATTACTACCTCTACAAGATGCTTGGGGTGAGTCCTGAAATGTTGTATACGCACACCCCATGCTCTCGAGTCAGATCCAGATCCAGATCCAGATCCAGATCCAGATCCAGACTCGGATCCCGTCCCTTATTGTCCCTAATGGGAAGTCATTTTTTGCAGCATGCGCTAAAAACATTAACACAACACAACGCACATAAGGAAACATGATCAAAAGTATCTTTTATATCATTTGTTGTTTGTGCACTTTGAGGCACCGCGCACTTGAACCGTCGTGACATTAAACCCTTTCTGTGTCATCGTTCGCTGAGGCCTTAGATTAGAAGACAAACAAACCAAAAAAAAAAAAAAAACCCCACCAGAGTATCTGTGTAAATCCTCTAAAAGGCCCCAGTGACTCACCAGCATATCCAGACCTGCAGACGTGATGGTGTACAGAAATAGTTAACCGTCCAACAGCTTGGAGTCAATAATAATAATAATAGTTTTTTTTAATTCCTTAGGTATATCTTCCGCTTACCTTGGCAAACCGGTCGAAATTGATTAAACCTACAATATTCAGGTGGCGCAATCTTCACCTTAAGACCTTACCTGATGTTGACCCAGAGAAATCTAGAGAGTGTCGTCATCCCCAATCACCCTAATTCCCCTTATCTTCCTGCTGCGCTCCTTCCTTTTCTAGGCGCCTTCCAGACCATCTTTGCACGTCACTGTTTGTTCCCTGTGTCAACGATGCACCGTGTTCCTCCTCCAGAACAGGAGTATCTTCCTTCATTCTCAAGGTTAACAGATAACCTGCCGTCCTGTCTTCTTCCTGTCTGGGTCTCTGGCTCCATTTAAGAACCTGGCTGAAAAGTGTGCCCTCACCTTCACCCCGGGTTTTGCCCCCATCCATCAAGTGTCTCGCGGCTGCGTGTTACCTTCAACTTGATCTTCGGCTCTCTGAGATTGGATAATTTCTTGATCGCCGTTTATGTTGTCTGAATATCTTTTACCTCGATTTTAACCAGTTGTCACCACGTGCGAGTATCCCGTTTCCTTATTTGTAATTACAAATTTCACATCTTTTAAACCTCACATTTCCACCAATTATTTTGTTCAATAACTCACATCCAAAATTGAGTTTGAACATCAATTCTGTTATATTTGAATGTACTGTAAAGGTTTGACAGACAGGACAGGTCTGTGAACTAAACACTCCACATGCTGCGATCCATCCATGTGATTTTTTTTTATTTCAGGGACATTTAACTCCCAAGTCCACGTTCTGATTTCCCTCAAGTGAATTGGTTTAGTTTACCTTTTTTTTCCTCCCCAAGCCTTAGCTTCTCTTCTCTCCAGCACTCCCATCCATCACTGCAACATCAACTACATTCGCCTTGTGTTTCCTGCTTGTCTTCACCCACATCCCTGTTTCCAGATATTTTTTCCAAAAGTGTCACTCTTTTTCTTCCTTTCTTCTTCTCCCTTTTGTCTTCTTCCGATTTAGTTTTTCCTTTACACGGGAAACCAAAGTCAGTGTCTCCAGTCAGGGTGCTCGCTTTTACTCCCGACACTTCATGTCCTTCTCCCCCGTTCCTGTCTGCAGCTCTAATAATACCAACAAGTAAAGTCACTTTAAACAGACTTAAACAATTACTGTGCGTCCCAGGTTTTTTTTTTTTTTTTTTTTTTTTTCCTCAAACAGTTGTAATGATTCTGAGCGTTCTGGCAAAGCCGGGCAAATTCACAGGGACGTTGGTGTAATTGCCGTCACAAGGTCGTGTGTGAGGGTCAGTGAAAGTGTCCTTTGTCTCCGGAGAAAACACACACACGTACACGTATTCGCTCTCATCCATCCGGGTTTTTCCGGCTCAGACAGACGTCCTGTTTGCTTTCCAGCGATGATCTTTGTTACAGTGGTTCTCCGTTTGTAACATGGGATATTTACACAGAAATATTTTTTTCTCACTTTTAATTAAATAAATGCTTTTTTTTTTTTTTTCGAACCATGCCTGTAACACGGGTGGTTACATGTTAGCTCCTTTCTGCTTCGGCGCCCCGTCCTCAGTTTGAATGCACATGATGATCTGCTCCAGAGCCGAAGCTAACGTTAGCTCCGAGGCTAACTCCCTTCACTTTGTCCTTGTCCCCAGCAGAGGTAAACAGAAACAGTGAAGTCGGGGTCTTTATTATCAGCCATAAACAGTGTTTTAACAGCTCCTGTATAACCAACTCACGCTACAACGCGACAGGGCTACAAACTGCTCTCAACTGTCGCTAACGTTCTCTCTCGCGCACACGGCCATACGCTACTAGTATAACACACAGTAGCCTACCAGAAAAGTCATCGATCGCTAGCGGTATGAACTTTGTTAGCACATCAATATCCATAAATTAGCCGCATCATTGTTTAAGTCGCAGGGTTCAAAGCGTGTGGAAAAAGTAGCGACTTATAGTCTGGAAATTACGGTATATATATATATATCACCTTAATTCTGTACACAGTAGTTGTTTAATTTGAATTTGACCTTTGTAACCATGCTATGGTGACCTTTCTGGAAGCAGTCCCTCAGACGGAGCCTGTCGTGCAGTTTTGTTTTTTTCTTTCAAAACAGCAGCAGCAGAGAGAGAGAATGAAATAAGTGACAAAATAAGTCAGGGCAGCGAGCATCATGTACGAGCTATTCATGCACGGGTTGAGCTGTGGAGTGCAACCGGGCAAGTGTGGGCAGGCCCGTTTCTCTCACTAAATGCCTTGCCAGAGGGGTGAAGTTTAGGATATCGGATCGCCTGCATGTGGTTTTACCATCAGCTGCTTTTCCTCTAAGGTTAATGTGCAGGAGCATTACTTACTAAGGATTTAAGGCGTCAGATTTTTTTAGCGTTAGCTTTTGACTTTCATTCTCATATGTCAGATGTACTGCAGGGTCTCCATCACTTCCTTCCTATTTGGGTAGTTGTAAAAAATGTGACATTGCAGTGAATATTTGAAATCAGTGTTTTCTATATCACAGCATTTGAATCTATGATTCTATTTTTCTAAAAACACTGGCACCAAACCTTCAGTGATGATGACATGCTAGTATTTATTTTTTTTGCTTGTTATTAGTAAGATCTGATGCAATGTTTTTCAGGAAGGGATTTTATGTCTACAAAAAAAAAAATCTATTTAAAGCTGTGATTTTAAACTCCTGGCTCAGGGCCTAAGCTTGGCCCGCAAACCCTTTGAATCTGGTCCTATGACCAGACCTTAAGGCAAATTTTATTTTATTTATTTTCTATTGTTGCTTACCTGGTCATTGATCCGTGCTCGGTGTTGGTAGTATAATATACAATATTTATATTTTACAAAAAAAAAAAAAAAATCTGAGAAATCTGTGGGGTTTTTTTTTGTATTGAACATCAAATTTCTGATCATCCCTAAATATCTAGTAGAGGCTGAGTACATAAATACGCACAAAGTGCTTTGTTTCACTGAAAATCAAGGTGCGTCTCAGCTTTCTTGATGATGGCCTGTGTAACAGTGTGTGTTTTTGTGTGTTTCCCAGCTTGGTCTGTGCATCAGCAGAGCATCTGCGTCTGTACTGAACCTGAACTGTAGCCTGGTGTTGTTGCCAATGTGTCGCTCACTGCTCACCTTCATAAGAGGAACAAACACGGTAAGAATCGAATCGAATCGAATCGAACAACGAATTGTTCCCAAAAGTCAACAGGCAAAAGTCGGGGGTTACACCCTAACATTCACACCTACGGTCAGTTTTAGAGCAGTGGTTTTGAAAATACTTATTGCAGAGGTGTGGACTCGAGTCTCATGACTTGGACTCGAGTCAGACTCGAGTCATCAATTTGATGACTTTAGACTCGACTTGACAAAATGTAAAGAGACTTGCAACTCGACTTGGACATTAACATCAGTGACTCGTGACTTCACTTGGACTCGAGCCCTTTTGACTCGACAAGACTTGATAATTTCTCCAAAACCCAAAGTGATCTGTGTAAATATATTATTATTTTATTTGAAAGGATTCGAAAGGACTCGAAACAGAAACGGCAGGACTTGGGACTTGACTTGACGCTTTTCAGTCTTGACATGGATTCGACTCGGACTTTGCCTATTTTGACTTGAGACTTGACTCGAACTTGAGTGCAAAGACTTGAGACTTACTTGTGATTTGCAAAGCAATGACTTGGTCCCACCTTTGACTTATTGTGAACTTGTATTATTTTATTATTATTTTATTTAAAGCACTGTATGAGTTGCTGCCACCTAGTGACTGGAGGCTTGTTTATGTAATCTGCGTTTTTTTTTTTTGGTTGGTGGGAGGGAGGGAGTGGTGTAATGAAGATCTATGCACTCATGGGAAGAAATGGTAACTCCACAAAGGAATCAAACCAGTGATCTACTTGCTGTAAAGGAAAACTAATGCTAGCATTAGCACAACATTTGTGTAATTCTGACTTCCTTGCGGTATGCTAGTGCGTCAGTGAGCATGTAGGGATATGACATCAGACTGTAGACCTGCCCATAGTGACATGTTGACTTAGGAAACATTTTTCTACAATTTAATTGTAATGTAAAAAAATGTAAAAGTCATGCATAAAAGCTAAAATGCTAAAATCCTTTTATCATTTTCTGCGCGATCTATTGGTGAAATGTGGGTATTGCAGGGAAAAGGCAGAATTAAAATGATAATATAAATAAATTATATAATCTGAAAAAGTTTTGCGGGCAGGATTAAAAAGCGGAACGGGCCGCATCCGGTCCCAGAGCCTTAGTTTGCCCATGCCTGCATTAGACAATGACTCTATTTTTTTTCCTGTATTTTTTTTTTAAAATAAGGGAGCAAAAAGTAGTAGATATTAATTCTACAAATACAGAAAGAACATTGGACTAAACCTAGTGATTCATGTACCAACATTTTTCTCTACTGTCACACAGGTATCGAGCAGGAAGACACGCCGGCTGCTGGACAAGAGCAAGACGTTTCACGTGGCCTGTGGAGTGACCATCTGCATTTTCTCTGGTACTACATGACCCTTTTTCTTTCTGTTCTTTTCTGTCTTTTTTTTTTAACTTCTCCTAAAAGATAGAAAGTCAAGTTAATGAACAGTAATGTTGTTAGAAACCGACACCTGGTAAGAATCAGACAGAACCCCGCTCGTCTAACCCTTAGTAGAGGATAAGGGTTTGAGACGCTGATGTTGGTTTAAGTTTGGGGATAAGGCTGCACGTGCACGTGTGCGTGCGCTCTCCCTCAAAGTCTCTTCCAATGACATGACGGCTTCTTCTTGCAGCTGCTTGTCTAATGCGTCTCCTGTTTACAGAGGATCTTTCCCTTTATTCATTAGGTCACAGTTTAACTGGCGGACCGGTCGACTGAGATCAGCAGTTCTAATCAACCAATCATCTGTCAGGTTCACTCTGTTAACCTGAGGACTAGCTTTTGTGGACAAATCCACAAAAACACAGTTATTTACATTTATATTTATGCATTTAACATATACTGTCATTTCCGGACTATAATCCGCTACGTTTTTCCACATGCTTTGAACCCTGCGGCTCAAACTAACGAAGTTCGTACCGCTAGCGCTTGTTACCGCTGTCGCGTTGTAGCGTGAGTTGGTTATACAGGAGCTGTTAAAACTCTGTTCATGTTCTGTTGTGGTCGGTGTGGCTGATAATAAAGACCCCAACTTCCCTGTTTCTGTTTACCTCTGCTGAGGACAAGCAAAAAGTGAACGGAGTTAGCCCTGGAGCTAACGTTAGCTTCGGCCTTGGAGCAGATCACTGAGTCTCCCCTGTGCTCTCCAATTATGGTGGAGGCGCCGAAGCAGGAAAGAGCTAACATGTAACTAGCCGTGTTAAAGGCACTGTTCGGGGAAAAAAAGCATTTATTTAATGAAAAGGGAAAAAAGTCTTTCAGTGTAACATCTTTGTGTGTAAATATCCCGTGTTACAACGCGAACACCTGCGGCTTATAGAGAGAAGTGCGGCCCAAATGTGTACCATTATTTTTTTTTTCTTTTTAAATTTTAAATATTCAGGTGCCTCAATAGTCCGGAAATTACAGTATACATATATATATATATATGTATATATATTTATATTTATATATATATATATGTATGTATGTTTTCTGCTTGCTGCTGGTCGAAGTTATTTTCACTCCCTCAGGCTTTGGGGAGAACTGGCTCCCGAGCCGTCTTCCACTCAGAAGTGAGCGGTGGGAAATGAGCGTGCTCATTAACCTGCTAAACCCTTGACAAAGGAGACAGGTTGAGACAGATTTAAGCCAGGAGCCGACAGAAGTGGCTGAGAGGCCCCTGACAGACGCTTGATTGGAAACCTTTGGTTGGTTTCCAGCACAACAGAAGAGCCGTAACGTGCGAGCGGTGTCCGTGGCTACGTGCTACGTTTTGTCGGATCATATAAAGCCTGTTTGATACGAGGCAGAGTGGACCAAAAGGTCAGCTTTCAACCAACCCCGTACAGCTTTTCAAAAAAAAAACCTTTTTTTTTTTTTTTTTTT